TAGAAATAGGAATCTAAGAATAGCCTATCTTATTCTCTCTAATAAAACATATATTTTATCTATAAACTATTGTCTGCTTGAACCGCTACAGACAGAAGGGTATAGTTTCTAGTTGTAGTAGAAATTATACTTACCCGTTGGACACTGCTATAAACCTGTGAAAGATCCTTGTAGCCATATTATTATTATACTGTAGTACTGCTGTTAAGAAGACCATGGTACTGTAACAATTTTAATGTAAAAAAAGTTATATTAGATATAGAAAATGGTAATTAACTAAACTGTATATTGTATATTCTACAGCTTGTAGTTGCAAAGAGACTAATTTTAGTAAAAATATTAATTAAAAGAGTAAAGTGTTTAATTAAATTTTTTATACAGCCTAAACAAAGAGAAAGACTTGAAGAAGTTCAAATTAAATTTCATGAAATTCACGATTCTGAAAATGAAGGTAATGAAAGTAATAGTAATGATAATAATTATAGTGATAATAATAATAATAATAATAATAATAATAATAATAATTTTGAGATAAAACTTATATATATTTTATTTTTTTATTTTTTTTAAATGATTATATAATAATTAATAATATATTCTAATCTATTAAAGCGTCAAAAAGGTTTCTGAATATTTACATGTTATCGCTGATTGCCTAACACGATAGAATTCTTTTTATCTTGCTTGAAATCAGCTTCTTAAATTAAAAAATCATATTAGTATTCTTATAAACTTACTTTCTATCAAATCTGATACTGATATTAGAAAAGATCTCAAATATTTAAAAAAAATTATCATTTTTGATGATAAGTGGGATATAATAAGTAATCTAATAGAGATTCTCTATCTATTTGCCAAGGCCACTGATTACTTAAGTAAAAGCAATTATTGCATCTATTTAATAATAGTTTTTATTTTATTTGAGCTTAAGAAAGTTGTTGGCCGTCAGCTTTTAATAATAATGTTAGAGTAGAAATTGATATTAGAGAAGAAATTGATGATAATAATAATGATAACTAAAACTTGTTTAATAATACTAGTAGTGATAAAAAGGAGAAGAATGAACAAGCCTACATGCCAATTAATATAGATATTGACAAAATTAAAATTAATTTATATAATACAATAAACTGTTATTGACCCCAATTAATATCACCAAGTTCATTTTTATCTTGCCTTCTAGATCCAATATGTATATAAAAGTCTTTCTTTTATCACATTTGATAAATAGTTCGTACAGAAAATCTTCTTTGTGAAAAGTATGATAAGATAAAAAATAGCATAGATAAGGTGAAAAAAATAGTTAGAATAGAGATTAAATTAACTCCAGTAAAAAAAAATACTAAAGTAAAAGTATTCTTTCTAGCTTTAAAAACTTATGCTGATTATAGTTGAAAAGATTTCTGATTATTTGAGGCTTGAAGAAATTGACTTTGACTGTAATCTTTTTGCATGATAGCATGAGCGGTATAATAAATTTCTGGTTATAAGTAAGCTAGCTAAAAAATATTTATTTGTTTTTGTATCTTCAACAGCTAACGAAAAGTTGTTTTTTGATATAAAGAACTTAATAACTTCAAAAAAAACTTGTATAAGTCCTATGTTATTAAAAGAGTTAATATTTTTAAAGAGAAATGAAAAATATGTAGATAATATTTATTCATGTTAAATATATACATATGTATGTAATATTTTTTGAATTGTGTAAATTTAGTTTGTGTTAGATTTACCTTTTTGATAAGTTAGAAGGTTTTTATTATATATATATATCAAGAATGCAATTTATGTAGTATATAGATTATATAAATTAAATCTCTAATATATATACTTTACTTGATAATTTTTAGTTATTGATTGACATATTTTAAATTAGTATATTTTGTAGTATTAGTTATTATTGTAATAAGATTGCTTCATGCAAGTTGTAGCATATATTTTTATTATTAAAAAGTTTATATATGTGAGTATAGAGAACATTTATTAGATATTCAAGTTCATGAATATTTACTACTTAATTTCATTTTATTTAAGATAAATTAGTATATAAGCAGCTTGTTGGTTCATGATCTTTGATATTCAATACATTAACATTACTATAGAGTTTAAGTAAGGCTGCTAATAAAACTCTATTTTAATTTGATTATTGTGTAATAATTTTATTTTATAAAAATATTTTATATATTAGGAGTTTTAGAATTAACTTATTTCAAAGATAAGTAAAAATTAAAATGGTCCTATCTTCTGTTTTAAAATTCTGAATCAAAAAATTACCATATATTGCTGAAAATAAGCCACCTCCGAAAATAAGCTACCTTCCTTTTTTGGAAAAAAACGTAAAAACGTCTTATACCCGAAAATAAGCTACTATACGATCGTCAGTAGTTACTCTATAGTAAAGTCAAAA